TTTGATGGTTACACTGATTATGTTACTTTTTTATTGGGCAAGTTCGACCCAACGCCTGGGGCAGGTACGAACCGGGTCGTTACCTGCCCCAGGCGTGGGTCGAAATTGCCCGCGTCCTCACAATACTCCAGCTGCCCTTTGCCACCTTGATATCTTAAGCCCGGCGCACACGTGAGTTATTTTACTGCAAGATAAAATGACGCATGAGTCATTTTACTCACGTGTGCGGCGGATTTTCGTTGAGTAATTTGAGTCATAGTTGTAGTATAGACGCTTGCCATCCCAAAAACAAGTCGATTTTATAAACAACCTTGCGTCGGCAAATCGCTTGATGTTCGGCGCTCATAAAAAAGAGCAATTTGCATGGCAGAGCGCCACCTTATGCGCTCGTACCGAGTCCTAGCTTTTATGGCCCGCGCGAAAATGCGACGGTGACCTGTCCGCGCAGGACACTGGGTCTCCTCTGTCTACCACGTAGGTTCTCCTCTTCTCATCCTCCTAGCTTCCAACTTCGATATCTGTCCCATCTCTACGTTCTATCTCCGAAGCCGTAACCGCCGTAGTGATCCGGTATCGATGCATCGCCTCTTAAGGTAATATCTTACGTTTTGTACCGACGCCGCGAGAAAGAGCGATATACGAATCGGCTCTCCAAGCATTGTATTATTTTACGCGTACGCTGCAGCGATAGTTTAGGTGTCAGAGGTTGCTAACAATATAGACGTGAGGTGAATCTAGACAATCCTGTGTTCTGTTACTAATCGGCGATTTTACTGTCATACTACCGTTGCGAGGAAACCCATCTGCTTAGCCGACCGAGAAACCGGTAGAGGGAGCAACGTCCTCGCTTGTTACATAGTTTGCAGTTTTAGTTCGTAGCTTTTACATTGTTGATTTTCAGAGTTGTTGTTAACAGCGCGAAGTGTGCGTACGTAGACAAGAATACGTATATACCAACTATTTGTATATACGCATGTATCATAGTAATCCATATTATATAGATCATACATAGGTATAACATATACGATATCACATATATATTAATACGATTATATATAATAGATCCATACGATGTTATACGTAAATACCAATATAAACAATTTATAGTTGATATACCTAGTTATATAGGTTACATATAATAGGTGATACTATACGTTTGATGTGTAGTTATTAGTTTTTGAACAGTTTGATGTTACTATTATTAGTTTTGATCAGTTTGATGTAGTTATTGTTATGACAATTCTTTTTATCGAATAAATGATCCTTGGATATTAAATCAACACTATTTTACTTGGCTTATTCAGGGGTCGATATGCGGGGCGAAATTTTCTTTTCAAGCAGGTTTACAATATAACGTAAAATCCGCACTCTGATTGCGCTCAAAACAGGCTTGCGCACATGTGTTTGATATTAGCAATTCATGTACTATTTTTGACTATAACCTGTGTAGCTCCTCAGTTGCGGGGCGCCCGGCGGCTAGGAACACCGTCGCTTACGTTAAAGGGCGATGGTTCGAATCCGTTTGGTTTTTAATTATTGTTGTTTCATTTATTTTTTATCTTTTATTCCATTAACTATTGTTTTCAATTTAACGAAAATTTGCTGATTGATTTACAACAATATATATTTTATTTAAATTTTTTTTTTATTATTTCATTTCATTTAGCTAGTTGTTTATTAAACTTAATTACGGTTAGGGTTTAGGGTCTGTTAGGCGTTAAAGTATTTACTAATCAGTTTACTTTAATTACTCATTATACTCATTTCTCCATTTTTACTCATTTTAGCGACAGGTGTATCTACCAGGCTGAGATACACATGTTATATCCAAAATAGTACAGGACATATGCTTAAATAACAAAACCACATGTGGCGCAGCCTGTTTTGGAACCAATCAGGAGGCAGGATTTTACATGATTATATTGTAAACCTGTTTGGGGGGAACAAAAAAATTTCGCGCCGGGGGGCGGGATCGGACTTGCCCGACACGGGGCAAGTCCGACCTATTTTGACCAATTTTGTTTCAATGCCGATTTCTCTTTCGTGTGTGCGATAGGAGGTACTTCTGGTTGGGGGTAATGAAAGGCAACTACATTGATTTATACTTGGATGATGTGCGCCCCCCCCCCCGCCCGGCCCCCCGGGGGCCCCCCTTGATTCATATCTACCACATTCTTCAAGCTATGGCGGCATTTATCAAAAGGGGTCGAACTAGCCCCGGTCTCCCCCACACGCGCGCGCGCATAAAACACAAAACACATTTACACTACACGCCACATAGACACAAATCACATAGATACACACACTACACTACAGCGCGCACACACACACAAATACACACCACACACACACACACACACACACACACACGCACACATACACAACACCACAAACACACACCACACATACAAACGCCGCGCGGGACATAAACACCACACACACTCACACACACACACACACACACAACACACACACACACAGCACACACACACGGCATACGCATCAAAACCACACACACGCGCAGGGCCGCAAAACCCACAGCGACATACACAAAACACACACTATACACGCACACATAGGAACAAACACATACCATACACGGCGACGCACAACACACACAAACACACAACACACACACACACACACAACACACACACAGCAAACACCACACAGCACACACACTAACTGAAAAATAAGATAGCTTCTAAGAGTATTATTGGAGTCAACGTCTGAACGTTGTACTTTTACGTTTACGTTGAACAATCTAGCCTGCGACATCAGGTCAGTTTCTTGACAGCGGGGCGACTTTCTGCGGGCGGTAGGCCTATCTTGCATCGATGTTTAATATTTCCACGTGTCCTGACGCACGACAGGTCGTTGTCGTAACAGGCTACTTACAGATATGTACCCCGGCTAGTTTTCCTAGGTTGTTTAGTTCATATATGTTTATATTTTTATATGAGGCTATGATTAGTCAGGGTTAGGGGTTAGTAGGGTATAGGGCTTAGGGGTTGGTTAGGTAGGGTTAGGGCTTACATCTTCTGTAGTACGAATACTCTGGGGTACACTTCTGTGTTATACAATATGTACTCCGGTACATATCTGTAAGTACTGCTTACGCATTAACGATCCCCTTGAGCTCGTCAGTGATGCATTTCTTTTTGTGGCACTTCATCTGGGCACTTGTTTAATCTACCAATTTTTTGCCGTGAGAAACCTTGACTTAGGCCAGCCGCACGACCAAGCGATTTACTAAACGATGAAGCGATGAAAGCGAATGAAACGGATGTAGGTGTGCGGCCGGCTTTATGCTTACAAGGAAATGCGTTCTCTAATTTATATATAAGAATACAATGTAAAAACAATGTATAATATTTTCTCTGGTTAAGTTAGACTGAGGATAATGCTGTAGTTATCCTTGGAAATCTTGGATGGAGCGCCTTTGGTTAACATTGTTTTTAGCTCATCTGCACATACGTCAATGCAGCTTTGTAGAAATCTTGACTCGATCGCTCCGTCCGTCTTCCGTCCGTCCGTCCGTCGCCGTCGTCGTCCGTTCCGTCAACAGTTGCGGCCACAAATCTTAAAGCGCTGCGACGTACGGTCACGATATTACGGCACTTTGGGGCGGGATCGGCAAACGAGTTGGCTGTCTGAAGCTGGGGGGTCAAAGGTCAAAGGCAAGAGGCTGGTAAAAACGAAGGGGGAACATTCAACATCCTTAACTTAAGCGTATAGGGAGGAAATGCCAGAATTTGGCACAAATCTAAACGGCCCGACCAGGCTCGTGATATGTCGGTGTTAGCATCATGGTTAGGCAAAACAGCCATCACTGTGCCGAATGAGGTCATCATGGTCAAAGGTCAATGGCACAGGGCAGATTTTAGACATTTTCTTGAGAGGACATGGTCTGCACGGAGCGATGAAAAACGTTTTCTGTTCAGCGGTCGAACCTAAAGGCTTTTTATGGATTAATTGAAAGACATGATAAATCTACTTCTGCTGACATGCCGAAGAGTAAGTGCTCAGAGTAACCTTTGACCCTCCAAGAGGAGGGAGGGTTAAAAATGATTTGTTGACTGTCTAGTTAGAGAAGAATTCTGACTGCCGGTTTGCCTAAGTCAGAATCTATACATGATCCTGGCATGTATGAGGTACAATGTCACAGTTTGATAATTTCAAAAGCTAAATTTGGTTAAAGAAGGTTTCATGCTGCCTTAATGCGTATAATTTATATGGCAGTGCTGTAGTGTCAGTAGTACATGTAACGTAATGCACTGCCAGTGTGCTACTTCCAGTGCATGGTTTTGGTACTGCTGGAGTTTTTCCTTAATTGGTATTAACAGGTGCGGCAGCTCTTATTGCGCAGCCTGTTAGGCTTGCGTAGGTAAATGGATGGAGTGCTTACCTATTCTGTCTTGCAGGTAGTTGTTGCTTACTACGTATGATGGGAGCTTCCATCTTTAATCTGAAGACACTTTAAACGTACGCGCCATCTCGTGGCAACTTCATAACGATCCAACGAACATTCTTTTTTAGAAGGTTCCGGCAACGATTTAGTAACGCAGGAAGCAGACAGCTGTGATGGTAAAGCGATAGACAACGATTTAGTCACGCAGGAAACACAAAGCTGCGATGGTAAAGACACAGACTACCAACCAAGCAGACTACCAATCTGTAGTGATAGGGATAGTGATGTAGATTATGAACCCTCTCATTCTAATGACAGTTCGGATTCCATAGTAGATGGATCAACATCAGACTCAGGCATGTCAGATATCTTTCCTGTACCTAAAATAAATCTTCATAGAAATACTCCTCTAACAAGTGGCCCTTCCAATGAGACGATTACTGCGAGTGTTGCTGTTGTTTCGCCCAGTTTCGATGATATTGAGACTGCTGCACATGGATTAGGTCAAAGTGAGGAAGGCGCGCAGAAACAGAGCATAACAGTACGTACCACTGATAATCAGGGAGGCAGAAAATATGACAAGAAATTTTATTGCTATTTCTGCAAGAAGCCTCAAAGTAAGCTAGTTCGGCATCTTAAAACTGTTCATAGAACTGAAGCAGAAATTGAGCAATATTTTTCTGAAAAGAACCCAAAACAAAAGAATGTGCTAATGCTGAAATTGCGTAATCTTGGAAATCACCAGCATAACTGTGATGTGCTTCGGCAGAAGACTGGGGATCTTGTTGTATCACACCGACCCACAGAAAATGTAGATTACACAGCATATATTCCATGTAAATATTGTTATGCATACTTCGCCAAGGCCTCGTTATGGAAACACTCATGCCCACTAGTTCCTGATGGTGGCAAGGCACATAGAAAAAAACGCATAGGGAAAAGTGGAGCCAGCTTGTTGCCATCAGAAGGAAATGGAGAGCTTGATTTTGTTATACACGGTATGAGGCGGGATGATATTGGGGAGGTTACAATGAAAGATGCACTAATTTTGCAATATGGCCGCCACCTTGTCAAAAAGTATGCCAATGATAAGGAGCAGTATTGCTACATTCGTGGAAAAATGAGACAACTAGGACGTCTTCTGATGTGTCTTAAAAAGAAAACAGGAAATAAAAATGACACGATGTATCATTTTGTCCATCCCACTAAGTTTCGACTTGTTGTAGAAGCAGCTCAGGAATGTGCAGGATTTGATGAAGTAAACCATACATATTCTGCACCATCTCAAGCAATCAAGTCTGGTCAGCTAATGAAAAAAATCGCTGAAATAAAAATGACTCAAGCTATGGAGAGAGGGGAAACAGAAGTATCTGATTCATGTGGGCAATTCCTAAAACTGTGTGATTTACAGTGGTCACAGTTGTCTACTACTGCACATAAGAATCTCTCAGAAAGAAAACGTAATAGTGTCAGGTTTTTGCCTCTTACAGAAGATGTTGTTAAATTAAACAAGTACCTGGATAATAATGGATCCAAACAATGTAGCGTACTTCAAGAAAATAGTGATAATGCAGACGCATATGCTACACTGACACAAATAGTACTTGCAAAACTGATACTGTTTAATCGGAAAAGACAGGGTGAAGTCTCTAAAGTACTAGTTACAGATTGGAAAGCTAAAAGTAAAGGAAACCCAGACAGCTGCATAACTGAATGTTTGAGCGAGGTTGAAAAGGGTCTATTAAAGGTACTTGAACGACTTGAGATTAGGGGGAAAAGAGGACGTATTGTTCCTATCCTAATCACAGAAGATATCAATAACTGGATGAAAATACTTCTTCAGGTAAGATCACAGCACATACCAGATTCAAATCCATTCCTCTTCCCAAGCAACACATCATACTCACACCTTCGTGGATCAGACATTATGAGGAGATTTGCTTCAGAGTGTGGGGCGAGCAAACCAAATCTACTTACATCAACACAACTAAGAAAGCATGTGGCCAGTATGGCCCAGGTCCTTAATCTGAAGGAACATGAAATGGATATTCACGCACGCACGCACGCACGCACGCGCGCGCGCAACATTTCGTAGATAAATAACACGTTATCGATAGAATATGAAAAATTCGTTTTTTTCGCAGATCACGTTCTGCTTTATCTGCATGAGATAGGAATATCTTTTTTATCTCATACATCTCACAGCGAGAAATCGGAATCGAGAGCATGGTTAGTGGCATGGAGAGTTCAACTCACCCGCGGCAGTGAAGGTAGGCGAATATATATGCGCGCGCGTGTGTGTGTGCGTGCGTGCGTGTGTGTGTGTGCGCGCGTGCGTGTGTGCGTGCGTGCGTGTGTGCGTGCGTGCGTGTGTGTGCGCGTGTGCGTGTGCGTGTATAGGGACGTCGTACAGTAGCAATAGCCGAACGTTGTCAGAAACACCGTATAGCTGTGCTATAACGATTAGTATATAACGGTCCCCCGCTTTATCGGAACAGTTCGGGAATCATAAAAATGCGAAATCGCGAGTTTTCCGCGCAAAATTCGACAGAGAGCGGCCATCAATTATGATGAAACCAAATCCGAGTCATTACAACATGGTAATGTTTTTCCGGTGCGCCAAAGGCCGCACGAGTCCCCGCCAACTCGCTCAATCATATTTACTAAACGATGCATCACTATAAAAAAAACGCCACAATTACGTCACGTGCGGCTAGATATAATCTTCTGATACAATGCGAATTATTACCGACTGCTGCTGCTGGTGGTGATGCTGCTGCTGCCGTAATGAAATATATCCAGACGTGACATTAATTCAACAACAACGCGCATTTCCGATTCCCATGGCAACCGATCTACGTAAGCAGTAGATAAAATTGCCGACTTTCGCTAGCTGCTAGTGATGCTGCTGATGCTGCTGCTGTTGTTGTTGTTGTTGTTGTTGTTGTTGTTGCTGCTGCTGCTGTTGTTTACTGCAACTGCTGTTGTTGCTGCTGCTCCTGCTGCTGCTGCTGCTGCTGCTACTGCTGCGGGTGTTGTTGTTGTTGTTGTTGTTGTTGCTGCTGCTGCTGTACTGCTTCTGCTGCTACTGCTGCTGTTGTTGTTGTTGTTGTTGTTGTTGTTGTTGCTGCTGCTGTTACTTCTACCGCAGACGGCGCTGGTACCGAGAGAAAGATTACCGACTTCCCAGAGCTCAGGCTTCCCCCAGCCCTTCCTCCCCTCCTCCTTCCCGCTCCGACCCATCCTCCCCCCACACCACGAAATACGGCTCAAATAATGACGTTCACGAACTCTTTAATGGCTTCCACGAAAAACTAGTTACGAAAATGGCCAGAGATTGAAGAATGCCGAAGCACAATCATGGCCGCCCACGCGCAAATCCGTACTGCGTCATGAAAAAGTCTCACCCTATTATGAAAAGGACTTTGAAATTAAGAGGCGAGGGTATGTAAATAAATATTAGCGGACAAGAAATTGGCTTGAAATCCATTGTCTAATGAATGTCCACACGAAAGAAACCTGCGATCATGTGGTACAGTATCTCATAGCGTACAGACATTAATAAAATTCAAAAGAAATAAATAAGAATGAAATAAAATAATTAATAATAAAATAACTCAAAAGAATAAAAGACTACAGTGCTGCTAAAATCACTGTAATAAAAGTCCGCATTTCCACTTCACGTGTCCGATGCTTGATAAAAGCACGCTGCATCGCCCCGCTGCGCAACACCGAGAGGATAAACCGACAAAAGGGTTAAATATAGGTAAGCAAACCTCTTCAGACTCGCGAAATTATCGCGCTAGCTTCAGGTGGCTGCGCCATTAGCAACCACGTTGACGTGACAGTAGCAGCTGCTCACACACAGCTTCTGCCAGCGACATCGATGTCAACGCGTCACACACGTACGCACGCACGCACACACACGCACACACGCACTTACACGCACGCGCACGCACGCGCACGCACGCACGCACGCGCGCACACACACACACGGATTTTTTTTTCAAGTTGATCATTCTTCGGCAGTACGCGAATGTAACTTCTGCAAAAAGGCGATCCGCATTTAGCTCGATAATTTTCCAACAGTACATGAGCGAAACTACGCGCAGTGTGTGTGTGTGTGTGTGTGTGCGTGTGTGTGTGTGTGTGTGCGTGTGTGTGTGTGTGTGTGTG